GTTTATTCAAATGAATGACCTTTACATATATTCAAGGTCACAGGGGCCGATGATATTTGGTCATTAACAGGCTGGGATGAAGGGCTACCAATTTTGTCAAAATGAATGACCTTCGCCCATATTCAAGGTCACAGTGGTCAATATATGTTTAAATCTTTAAATGACTTGTTCTGTATAACCAATAGGTCCAGGGTTATGATATTTTGCCAAAAGCATGCTGGGTTGGAAGACTTTAAACTCTGTTCAACCTAATGTCCTTGTTTGACATTCAAGGTCACAGGCGTCATATGTTTAAATCTTTTAATAGGCTCTTATGAATCAAACACTGATATTCTTCCCGTAGCTGCATTTTAGTCCACTTTAAAGATTACAAGTGTGAGATTAATACCAGGTGAGCAATTCAGGCCCATTGGGCCTCTTGTTACTATTGAATTGTTTAGGGTTAACGACACAAATTTTACTATTGAATTGTTTAGGGTTAACGACACAGATTTTACTGTTGAATTGTTTAGGGTTAACAAGACAGTTTTTACTATTGAATTGTTTAGGGTTAACAAGACAGTTTTTACTATTGAATTGTTTAAGGTTAACGACACAGTTTTTACTATTGAATTGTTTAGGGTTAACGACACAGCTTTTACTGTTGAATTGTTTAGGGTTAACAAGACAGATTTTACTATTGAATTGTTTAAGGTTAATGACACAGATTTTACTGTTGATTTGTTTAGGGTTAACAAGACAGATTTTACTATTGAATTGTTTAGGGTTAACGACACAGTTTTTACTGTTGAATTGTTTAGGGTGAACAAGACAGATTTTACTATTGAATTGTTTAAGGTTAACGACACAGATTTTACTGTTGATTTGTTTAGGGTTAACAAGACAGATTTTACTATTGAATTGTTTAGGTTAACAAGACAGATTTTACTATTGAATTGTTTAGGGTTAACAAGACAGATTTTACCATTGAGTTGTTTAAGGTTAACGACACAGATTTTACTGTTGATTTGTTTAGGGTTAACGAGACAGATTTTACTATTGAAGGGTTTAGGGTTAACAAGACAGATTTTACTATTGAATTGTTTAGGGTTAACAAGACGGATCTTTCTGTTTAGGTGCCCCAGTAAAGGATGGAGCTTCCGAGTCATCACTGCCAGGCGAACTCAATGGTGGGAAAACAGACATTGACGATAAAGTAGCCGACTTTTTAGCTGTAAGAAGTTTACTTTTGTCAGAGGTGAACTGTGTTGTTACAATAATTACTAGAATTGTTTTGCCATGCCTTATTTATGTCATGACAAACAAACTGTTTCCTATTGTCATTAAAGAGATTAAAATTAAAGAGATATAGAAGTGTAAGATCTAGTCAGGTAACCCACCAATACGACCATGGTGGCCATTTTATTTAACCTCCATATAACCATTCTAGTTTAAATGTTGGTATCTGCAAATTGTTTTAAAACAGCAATTAGTTAGCTAATGCAATAACAAAAAATGATCAATGCCAGCAGAATGTTATGCAAAACATGGTTTATTTGGACACTTGTGTTACAAAGATATTGGGAGCTTAAATATCTGTATGCCTAACCGGTACATCTAGGACATATTTTTGTTGGATTTTCAGGAAATTGATGCCTTGCCTGTGCCAGACGATGAAGAAGAAGATGAGGAAGAAGAAGAGGACCGCCCAAGCTGTATGGTAGAAATCCCTCCACCAAGCTTCAAACTCAATGTCAACCAGCAGAGCAGTAATGATCAGGAGCCACCAGCGAAGACTTACAGTAAAAGGGAAGAGTCAGCAAAAGAGATGGAGTCTAGATCCAAGTACAAGAGTATGTTTGTTAAGGGGGCATCAGAGTGCATGAGGCAGAACGAAAGCACTGAGGCCATGGCTAAGGAATCAAAGGCAGAGCAATGGCCAGAAGGTAAATCTAGAATGTTAGGCTTTGACCTCCTTAAATAGATTGGAATAACTTTTTTGTTTATTGACGGATAATGAAAGAAAGTAATATAACTTGATATTGAAGATGTAACAAAGTATTGATACGAGTTAAAAGCTGTAACATAGTATTGGTATGAGTTAAAAGATGTAACAGAGTATTGGTATGAGTTAAAAGATGTAACAGAGTATTGGTATGAGTTAAAAGATGTAACAGAGTATTGGTATGAGTTAAAGATGTAACAGGGTATTGGTAAAAGCTAAAAGGTGTAACAGGGTATTAATATGAGTTAAAAGGTGTAACAGGGTATTGATTAAGTTAAAAGGTGTAACAGGGTATTGATATGAGTTAAAGATGTAACAGGGTATTGATATGAGTTAAAAGATGTAACAGGGTATTGATATGAGTTAAAGATGTAACAGGGTATTGGTATGAGTTAAAGATGTAACAGAGTATTGGTATGAGTTAAAGATGTAACAGGGTATTTGTATGAGTTAAAGATGTAACAGAGTATTGGTATATGTTAAAAGGGGTAACAGGGTATTGATATGAGTTAAAGGTCTAACAGGGTATTTGTATGAGTTAAAAGATGTAACAGAGTATTGGTAGGAGTTAAAAGGTCTAACAGGGTATTGGTATGAGTTAAAGATGTAACAGAGTATTGGTAGGAGTTAAAAGGAGTAACAGGGTATTGATATGAGTTAAAGGTCTAACAGGGTATTTGTATGAGTTAAAAGATGTAACAGAGTATTGGTAGGAGTTAAAAGGTGTAACAGAGTATTGTTAGGAGTAAAAAAGTGTAACAGGGTATTGGTATGAGTTAAAGATTTAACAGAGTATTGGTATGACTTAAAGATTTAACAGAGTATTGGTATGAGTTAAAGATGTAACAGAGTATTGGAATGAGTTAAAGATGTAACAGGGTATTGGTAGGAGTTAAAGATGTAACAGGGTATTGGTAGGAGTTAAAAGATGTTACAGAGTATTGGTAGGAGTTAAAAGATGTAACAGAGTATTGGTAGGAGGTAAAAGGGGTAACAGAGTATTGTTAGGAGTAAAAAAGTGTAACAGGGTATTGTTATGAGTTAAAGATTTAACAGAGTATTGGTATGAGTTAAATATGTAACAGGGTATTGGTATGAGTTAAATATGTAACAGGGTATTGGTATGAGTTAAAAGTTATAATAGAGTATTGGTATGAGTTAAATATGTAACAGGGTATTGGTATGAGTTAAAAGGGGTAACAGGGTATTGGTATAAGTAAAAAGGGGTAACAGAGTATTGGTAAGAGTTAAAAGATGTAACAGAGTATTGGTATGAGTTAAAGATGTAACACGGTATTGGTATGAGTTAAAGATGTAACAGGGTATTCGTATGAGTTAAAAGGGGTAACAGGGTATTGGTATAAGTAAAAAGGGGTAACAGAGTATTGGTAAGAGTTAAAAGATGTAACAGATTGGTATGAGTTAAAAGATGTAACAGAGTATTGGTAGGAGTTAAAGATTTAACAGAGTATTGGTATGAGTTAAAGATTTAACAGAGTATTGGTATGAGTTAAAGATGTAACAGGGTATTGGTAGGAGTTAAAAGGGGTAACAGGGTATTGATATGAGTTAAAGGTCTAACAGGGGATTTGTATGAGTTAAAAGATGTAACAGAGTATTGGTATGAGTTAAAGATGTAACAGAGTATTGGTTGGAGTTAAAAGGAGTAACAGGGTATTGATATGAGTTAAAGGTCTAACACGGTATTTGTATGAGTTAAAAGATGTAACAGAGTATTGGTATGAGTTAAAGATGTAACACGGTATTAGTATGAGTTAAAGATGTAACAGGGTATTGGTATGAGTTAAGTAGGAGTTAAAAGGTCTAACAGGGTATTGGTATGAGTTAAAGATGTAACATGGTATTGGTATGAGTTAAAAGGTGTAATAGAGTATTGGTATGAGTTAAATATGTAACAGGGTATTGGTATGAGTTAAATATGTAACAGGGTATTGGTATGAGTTAAAGATGTAACAGAGTATTGGTATATGTTAAAAGGGGTAACAGGGTATTGATATGAGTTAAAGGTCTAACACGGTATTTGTATGAGTTAAAAGATGTAACAGAGTATTGGTAGGAGTTAAAGATTTAACAGAGTATTGGTATGAGTTAAAGATTTAACAGAGTATTGGTATGAGTTAAAGATGTAACACGGTATTAGTATGAGTTAAAGATGTAACAGGGTATTGGTATGAGTTAAGTAGGAGTTAAAAGGTCTAACAGGGTATTGGTATGAGTTAAAGATGTAACATGGTATTGGTATGAGTTAAAAGGTGTAATAGAGTATTGGTATGAGTTAAATATGTAACAGGGTATTGGTATGAGTTAAATATGTAACAGGGTATTGGTATGAGTTAAAGATGTAACATGGTATTGGTATGAGTTAAAAGGTGTAATAGAGTATTGGTATGAGTTAAATATGTAACAGGGTATTGGTATGAGTTAAAGATGTAACAGGGAATTGGTATGAGTTAAAAGGTGTAATAGAGTATTGGTATGAGTTAAATATGTAACAGGGTATTGGTATGAGTTAAAGATGTAACAGAGTATTGGTAGGAGTTAAAGATTTAACAGAGTATTGGTATGAGTTAAAGATTTAACAGAGTATTGGTATGAGTTAAAGATGTAACACGGTATTGGTATGAGTTAAAGATGTATCAGGGTATTGGTATGAGTTAAAGATGTAACAGGGAATTGGTATGAGTTAAAAGGTGTAATAGAGTATTGGTATGAGTTAAATATGTAACAGGGTATTGGTATGAGTTAAATATGTAACAGGGTATTGGTATGAGTTAAAGATGTAACAGAGTATTGGTTGGAGTTAAAAGGAGTAACAGGGTATTGATATGAGTTAAAGGTCTAACACGGTATTTGTATGAGTTAAAAGATGTAACAGAGTATTGGTATGAGTTAAAGATGTAACAGGGTATTCGTATGAGTTAAAAGGGGTAACAGGGTATTGGTATAAGTAAAAAGGGGTAACAGAGTATTGGTAAGAGTTAAAAGATGTAACAGAGTATTGGTATGTGTTAAAGATGTAACAGAGTATTGGTATGAGTTAAAGATGTAACAGGGAATTTGTATGAGTTAAAAGATGTAACAGATTATTGGTATGAGTTAAAGATGTAACACGGTATTAGTATGAGTTAAAGATGTAACAGGGTATTGGTATGAGTTAAACATGTAACAGGGTATTGGTATGAGTTAAAGATGTAACATGGTATTGGTATGAGTTAAAAGGTGTAATAGAGTATTGGTATGAGTTAAATATGTAACAGGGTATTGGTATGAGTTAAAGATGTAACATGGTATTGGTATGAGTTAAAAGGTGTAATAGAGTATTGGTATGAGTTAAATATGTAACAGGGTATTGGTATGAGTTAAATATGTAACAGGGTATTGGTATGAGTTAAATATGTAACAGGGTATTGGTATGAGTTAAATATGTAACAGGGTATTGGTATGAGTTAAAGATGTAACAGAGTATTGGTAGGAGTTAAAAGGTGTAACAGAGTATTGGTAGGAGTAAAAAAGTGTAACAGGGTATTGGTATGAGTTAAAGATTTAACAGAGTATTGGTATGAGTTAAAGATTTAACAGAGTATTGGTATGAGTTAAAGATGTAACAGGGTATTGGTATGAGTTAAAGATGTAACAGGGTATTGGTATGAGTTAAAGATGTAACAGAGTATTGGTATATGTTAAAAGGGGTAACAGGGTATTGATATGAGTTAAAGGTCTAACAGGGTATTTGTATGAGTTAAAAGATGTAACAGAGTATTGGTAGGAGTTAAAAGGTGTAACAGAGTATTGGTATAAGTTAAAAGATGTAACAGGGTATTGGTAGGAGTTAAAGATGTAACAGAGTATTGGTAGGAGTTAAAAGATGTAACAGAGTATTGGTAGGAGTTAAAAGATGTAACAGGGTATTGGTAGGAGTTAAACATTTTCTCCCATAGAGCCGGTGTCAGTCTGGCAGCAGACGCTGGATGACCACACCCAGTGTTTCTACTACTGGAACACTGTAACTAACGAGGTTACCTGGGAGATCACTGCTGAGTTCACTCAGTACTTGTTACTGCGCAAGGAGTACGATGAGAAGGTTGATCGACTCACCAAGGAGGGGCGCGTCAAACCGACTAAACCCAAACAGGACCAGTGAGTAAACTGATGATGTAGCAGTACATAAACAGTACTAAAGGTTAATACTCGGGTTAAAGGTTAATACTCAGGTTTTAAAGTTAATACTCAGGATTTAGATTAATACTCGGGTTAAAGGTTAATACTCAGGTTTAAGGTTAATACTCAGGTTAAAGGTTAATACTCAGGTTAAAGGTTAATACTCAGGTTTAAGGTTAATACTCAGGATTTAGATTAATACTCAGGTTAAAGGTTAATACTCAGGTTAAAGGTTAATACTCAGGTTTAAGGTTAATACTCAGGTTTAAGGTTAATACTCAGGTTAAAGGTTAATACTCAGGTTTAAGGTTAATACTCAGGTTTAAGGTTAATACTCAGGTTAAAGGTTAATACTCAGGTTTAAGGTTAATACTCAGGTTTAAGGTTAATACTCAGGTTAAAGGTTAATACTCAGGTTTAAGGTTAATACTCAGGTTTAAGGTTAATACTCAGGATTTAGATTAATACTCAGGTTAAAGGTTAATACTCAGGTTAAAGGTTAATACTCAGGTTTAAGGTTAATACTCAGGTTAAAGGTTAATACTCAGGTTAAAGGTTAATACTCAGGTTTTAAGGTTAATACTCAGGATTTAGATTAATACTCAGGTTAAAGGTTAAAACTCAGGTTTAAGGTTAATACTCAGGATTTAGATTAATACTCAGGTTAAAGGTTAATACTCAGGTTAAAGGTTAATACTCAGGTTTAAGGTTAATACTCAGGTTTAAGGTTAATACTCAGGATTTAGATTAATACTCAGGTTAAAGGTTAATACTCAGGTTAAAGGTTAATACTCAGGTTAAAGGTTAATACTCAGGTTTAAGGTTAATACTCAGGTTTAAGGTTAATACTCAGGTTTAAGGTTAATACTCAGGTTTTAGATTAATACTCAGGTTAAAGGTTAATACTCAGGTTAAAGGTTAATACTCAGGTTAAAGGTTAATACTCAGGTTTAAGGTTAATACTCAGGTTTAAGGTTAATACTCAGGTTAAAGGTTAATACTCAGGTTTAAGGTTAATACTCAGGTTTAAGGTTAATACTCAGGATTTAGATTAATACTCAGGTTAAAGGTTAATACTCAGGTTAAAGGTTAATACTCAGGTTAAAGGTTAATACTCAGGTTTAAGGTTAATACTCAGGTTTAAGGTTAATACTCAGGTTTAAGGTTAATACTCGGTTAAAGGTTAATACTCTGTTAAAGGTTAATACTCAGGTTAAAGGTTAACACTCGGGTTAAAGGTTAATACTCAGGTTAAAGGTTAATACTCAGGTTAAAGGTTAATACTCAAGTTTAAGGTTAACTTTAAGGTCAGTACCTAGCTTAAAGGTTAATTGGCAGCATAGCATTCCACCCTGTCACATTTTACTGACAATGTTGTTGTCATTATCATAATACTGAATAATAGGCAAACCAGATCCAATGTCCGTATCCAAATCGTACAATGCTGTGGTGGTCTTCCGTGGATGGATTCCTACACATGAAAAGTCATGAAAATTCAGGTAGAAATGGCTCGACTTGATGTTGAGAGATGTCTTTACTGAAATGGTTAAAATTGCCTGGAAGACAGAATTCTTCAATCTTTCTGAAATGAGATGCCGACAAAAGCCCATTCATTTACTTGTACCTATGTTTGTTTTAATCCTAAATTACTGGACAGAACATTTGCTTACATATTCATGTACATACATGTACACCACAGATTTTTGTAACTGAAATTTAAGTTTTTTTTGTCTCGCCACCACGAAGTAGCAGAATCGAGACTAAGGTGTTGTTTTTCTGGCGAGGGCGGCAAAAAAAAAATTGGGATCGTCTAAAACCATGAAATATAAGAAACTAAATCTCCATTGTTCAAAGACCTTTGTTCAATGTCACAAAGATCAAATGTGTTACAATCTTCAAACAACCTCTTCTGATAAACCATGAGCCTTAGGGTAATGATATGTGGCCAGAAGCTTGCTAAGAACAGGTCATTTACTTTCATTGTATTTTCCCCAGCCTATTGATGTTAAATGGAACTTTAGTGCTAGGCCACCCTCTCTCTTGCATACATACTGTACATGTATGAGTAGATATAATCTTTACCCTATTACCACTGTAGACCATAATGGACTCATCTAGATCAATGCATGGTAGAGTCTACTAAAGTTACATAGGGGTGAAAGGGTTAATGGGAAGGAGTGGTTGTAAATAATAATAATTTCCTTGTGTTCTAAAACTAAATTAGCTAGACTTGCCTGCTTATACAATTTTTGTGACTCTTAATGTTTTCTCTCAGTCCTGATAGCAGGACTTCAGGAACACCTAGACTGTTTGGTCCGGAGCTGCCATCTGGCATTGGTTCATCACTGGAAGGGGTCGACAACTCTGGAGTATCATCAACCTCTAGTTTTCTGAACCAGAAGAAAAGTAGTGGTATTCTTAAAAACACAGACCGTCAGCACTCTCCAAAACCAGACAGCACCAAGCCATCCAAGGCACTGTTGGTTGACGCTACTTACTTTAACAGTGACGATGACAGTGATAACAGCAGCAGTGAGTATGAAAGTGACGATCCTAAAACGTCAACCAAGAAAAACAAGGACGACTCGGACAGTGCTGAGGTAGAAATGGATCTCGATGACATTGATGCAGCCCTTGACATGGCATTTGACAGTAAAGAAGTCAAAAAGGTAAGTGTTGTAAAGCTTGTATTCTTTAACAGTTATAGATGACATGAAGAGTAATGTAGGACAAGAAGAGTAACACTGATGGCTACACAGGAAGATAACATAATTTTGTAAAAAGAAAATTGATATAGTGAACTATTAATAGTCCTCTCTTTGTGACAAAAAGACCTACACATTATTCTCACACATATAATGTCTAAAGAGGTATTGACACAAATTGAGGTTCTAAAGGACATGCATTCAGTGAATGTGATTAATTTCAGGGTAATGGAAAGTCACGATCAGTGTCTGGTATTGCTGATAATAGTTTGTATCTTGTTTGACCAATAGTTTAACTAAGTAAGGTAAAGTTGAATATCACTGAAGATATTGTTGAACATTCTGTGATATTATGGAATTTGTGGATGTTTTCTACACCAGTCTGATACCAAGAAGACGTCCAAGGAAGATCCTAAAGCTGATGTCAAAGAGAAAAAGAAGGAAGCCAAAGGAGTGAAACAGAAGAGCCTGGTGGATGAAATGAAGGAACAGGTCAGTCTTACACCACAGGACAAACAAAGTCTCAGTCTCCCTTTATCTATTTGTTAAAGCATATCTATCAACCTCTCAAAATCCTGTAGCTGTTGATGCTGCAATATCTGGTCGCGATGCCTAAGAACATGTCCAGTGTATGAAGCTAGGAGAATGTTACAGAATCTGCTTAGTTACTCCTGCTATGAACATTGAGTGGTAACGTCAGTTAACACCATCAGAACTCCAAATCTCTTCACTAGTCAAAATATCATGTAGTTTTGCCATATGACAGCAAAGGAATCTCTGTTGGTGCTGCATTGTAATATCCTACACATGAGATGAAATAGTGATTTCTGAAATGTTCGTCTCATTTTGCTTTTCTTGTACTTCATGTTTTGAATATATAATTTAATCCAAGCCACATCTCATACAGCAAAAATAAAACCACCACATTACAACTCGGATGACCAAATTTTTTCAAAACACATTGAAATTTGGGTAAATATGTGATTTGCTGTTACACTCAGTATAAAAATATTGTTGTCTTTTTGTCCATAAAAGGAAAAAACATGTACTAAAAAAAACCCCATATATTCCTAAATAATCCTCAAACATGTCACAGAGAAATTACAACAGTACCTTAACTTTTGGGAAATAAGAACAAACCTTATTGTTTAAAATGATTTTTTTTTTCACACTGGCAAAGATCTTTTCTAAATAGTAAATAGTTCATTCTAAGTGTGGACTTATCCAGGGTAAGAGAAAAGCTTGTCCAATCTGTACAGGTCCAGAAACGTCAGGAGATGGAGGCACGGATTGCAGCAAGGCGCAAAGCAGCAATTGAGGAGATGATGGCACGAGAACTGGAGAGGCGTGTTGGACCGCCAAGGAAAAGATCATGTGAGGAAGACCTCCCACAGACGGTGTGGGACAGCAAGAGGCCCAAGTCCTCAGACTTCAGAAAGAGAGAGCATGAACATGGTTCGTTAAATAACAAAGCCCTAGAGTTTCTCTTTCAACCTTAGGATGCAATTACCTTATATCCAATTACTGTTAGAATCGAATCACAATCTTTTTTTTATAAATTCAAAGTAAAATAGCTTAAACAACTTAGATGTGATTTTGTTCCACTTTGGTACAATGTGTAATGGTGTGAAGATACTTGTATTCTGTGATCATAAGGTACTCTCAAGTTGTGACAGATTTTTACAGACGTGATTTCATCAGTAGGTAATTTGCTGCCTCAAATTAATTTATGTTGTACTATAGCTTGATTTAAAAAAGATTTCATGGGGAGGGGAGAATTCTAGGATACAAATATTACAAACACTGATATCCCCCATTTCTAGTTCATCTCACAGTTGTGTGCTGGTCCTATGGCAATTTATTGCTGTATATTTACATTTGCTCTGCATCCTTCAATTGTAATACATTATGAAGGCAATTGTTGTTGTGAGACTATAACAACATTTGCCATTGTAACATCATCAATCTCTATTGTGAGGTCATCAATTTCATTGTTGTCAACGTTTACACTTAATTTGCTGTTCAAAAACTGTTCGAAATAACTAAATAAAGCATAACTACTCTATCAAAATGTGAATATAAATAATGAATATTTTAGCAAATATTGTTATGGTCCTATAACACATTTCTATTGCTTACAAACTTACATAAAGCCCTACTGATATAAGCTTGTCATCAATAGCAATGTTTGTTAGAGGACCATAACAACATTTGCTAAAACATTTATTGCTTAAGTATTTTATTGAGTATATGTTTATTGTTTATCTTGAGTGAGAGAAAAAATTCACAACTTCAACAGAACTTTTTTGGAGATAAATTGATCAGATTGTAATCTCTTTGTTATTGTATATTATAATTGTATTGGTGTTTTAATGAGATACTCTTTAAACTCCCAAACATTGGATATACACAGGATCACATCGGTCATCAAGTGAGAGGGACCACGACCGAGACTCAAAGAGGAAACATGACGACAGGAAGGATAAGAAAAAGAAAAAAGATGATAGGCATTCGAGAGATAGAGATGAAAAGGGAGATAAAAGGAAGGACAGAGACAAGGATAAAGACAAAGACGAGAAAAAGAAAGATAAGCATCGAGATCGTGATGAGAAAAAGAAAGAAAAGGATGGAAAGAAAGAGAAGGAGAAAAAGGAAAGTAAAAAGGAGGAAAAGAAGGAGAAGAAGGACGAAACTGAAGTAAAAGTAGAGAAAGTCAAAGAAGTTCTTAAGGTAGAGGAAGAAATTGTAAAGAAAGTCCCTGTTGTGGAGGAGCTTCCCCCGGAGACCGAGAAATTCCTGGAGAAAGCTATGGTCAAGTCTGAAGATCGGTTGAAGGAGGTTCAGCTGGCTAATCTCAAGGTAGGTCATGTGACAGTTTGTTGTCAAGATGGCTAAACTGATGAACTGAAATATATAAATATTGAATTGTAAAGGAATGTTTCTGATAAGCAGTAAGATATGTATCTGCAAGCTGAAAGTGATGAAATGACTTACATACCACCTTTTAGGTAAAGCAGGGGTATACAATAAATATTTTGTCAGCGTGTCCATTGGTGTAGCTGTCCTGGTAAAATAGGTAGTGGACAAGATATCTTGTACATGTACTGATGTACTTAAACTATATCTACACCATAGTATGGCATCAAGTTCTACACCCAATCAGATTTTGGTAGTAATCAGCCTAGGTTAAAGGGTCAAAATTCAAACTTCACTATTTGCGACTTTTGAAGTAAAACTTGTGCAGAAGATATCTTACAAGCTCAAAAGATTTAGATTAAAACATAGTATGGTAATGTTGAGTTCTTAACCTGATTAAATTTTGGTAGCTAAATATAAGCTTGAAAGATTTCAATATATTGTATTGATGTAAGATTTCAATATATTGTATTGATGTAAGAATTCAATCTATTGTACAGATGTAAGAATTCAATCTATTGTATTGATGTAAGAATTCAATATATTGTATTGATGTAAGAATTCAATCTATTGTACAGATGTAAGATGTCAATATATTGTACAGATGTAAGATTTCAATATATTGTATTAATGTTAGATTTCAATATATTGTACAGATGTATAAGATTTCAATATATTGTACAGATGTAAGATTTCAATATATTGTACAGATGTATAAGATTTAATATATTGTACAGATGTATAAAATTCAATATATTGTACAGATGGAAGATTTCAATATATTGTCAATATAAGATTTCAATATATTGTATTGATGTAAGAATTCAATATATTGTACAGATGTACAAGATTTCAATATATTGTATTGATGTTAGATTTACAAGATATTGTACAGATGTATAAGATTTCAATGTATTGTATAGATGTAATATTTCAATATATTGTACAGATATATAAGATTTCAATATATTGTACAGATGTAAGATTTCAATATATTGTACAGTTGTATAAGATTTCAATGTATTGTACAGATGTTATATTTCAATATATTGTACAGATGTATAAAATTCAATATATTGTACAGATATAAGATTTCAATGTATTGTACAGATGTAATATTTCAATATGTTGTACAGATGTGTAAAATTCAATATATTGTACAGATGTAAGATTTCAACATATTGTACAGATGTAAGATTTCAATATATTGTACAGATGTAAGATTTCAATATATTATACAGACGTAAGATTTCAATATATTGTACAGTTGTATAAGATTTCAATGTATTGGACAGATGTTATATTTCAATATATTGTACAGATGTATAAAATTCAATATATTGTCAACATAATATTTCAATATATTGTACAGATGTAAGATTTCAATATATTATACAGATGTAAGATTTCAATATATTGTACAGTTGTATAAGATTTCAATATATTGTATTGATGTATAAGATTTCAATATATTGTACAGATGCAGGCATCTGAGTTAGCTGACCTAGCACTCAGCAAGCTGGAGTTTCTTGAAGTGACAAAGAAAGGCCTTTCAAAACTTCAGATACTTCTGATAGAGCTGGAGGTAAGATTATTGATATAATAGGTTCATTGAGTCTTGTGTTAGTCAGCCATATGAGCTAGAGTATAAGGATAGCACCTTATAGGTGTGTTGTTTCTGTCACTGTAGCTGGTCTCATACACCATCATAGCCCGTCCAGTGTCAGTTAGCACAGGTTTGACACCTGCAAAGTACATCAACAATCAAATTTGTGAGAACTGACAACTGCATATAATAAGTTTCAAAATCCAAGGGTTCCTGTCTCGACTACTTACCTTTTCTACACCGATGGCATATGTCATGACAAAATTGTAGTCCCATGCTTGTTGATTAGTTACAGTTATAAGGAATAAACCAGCTGCTAGGCTTATAACCATCTTTAAAGATTACAGAGGATTGACAGCAGACTTCAAAGTCAGTAATTTTTACTGTTATGCTGGTGTGCAATTCTTTTGATTACAATGAAGGGACACCTGACTTCAAAGTCAGTAATTTTTACTGTTATGCTGGTGTGTGATTCTTTTGATTAGATTGAAGGATCAAACTATTCTATTTCTATCACCCACAAGGTGTCAGTGCAGAGTCTGACTTATTCCAGGAGTGTTAGAGAAGACATGTGTGTTGAGAGAAGAACTTTTGATTATAGATGTCGTTTAAACAGGCTGAAAAGAAATGTTGCAATATTGTTCATCTCAGAGAGACTCCTTTCCTTTGTGAAAATATTGATTGTTTGTGGAGGGCGGAAAAATAGAATTGAAAAAATAGTTATATTTTCAGACAGAAAATGTACGAATTTGCAAATTATTTGTATATTCAGATAGAGAATGAAAGAAATTTCAAAATATTTGTATTTTCAGACAAGACATCAGGACTGGCAGGCAGGTGGACTGAACACAGAGTTCTTTGTAGCCAAACTTGAGGAGGCAAACTGGCAACTCCAGCAGTACGAGCAGAGTGCAGCGCCCCCTGGCTGGACGTGTCACTGGGACAGGTACGGCCATCTTGTTTTCTCTACTCTCTTCTGCATCCTCATTTGTGCTGCCAAGTATGGACCTCCTTCCCATCCCGACACCAGTCTACCAAAAATGATTCCTTAGTTTGGGGATAAATTTACATAAAGAAAAATGGGAATATAACGTCTTCCAACACCTTGCTTGGTTTAGTTCGCCTGATTGTTCTGTGTCATTATAGAACCTTCACGCACTATAAAGAAGGGCTGACATGATATCGGATAAATGAATGCGAAAAAAAATAATGTTTAAGAATAAAAATAAGAAAGACACCCAACATTATTTCTGGTCCATACTTGAATGCATTGTGTCAACATTTGGACAGTTAGACTCACTGCCATGTTTGATAGCACTGGAGAAAGTGTTAAAACTGTCAATCTTTGGCTGGAGTTCAAAGGTTATAGACCCATGTGAAATGTGCAGGACCTTTGTTTCCATGACAACTGATCATAAGACTGTCAGATATTGTTTCCATGGCTACGTAAACAATGGATCCAAGAGGAGAAAGAGAAGAAATTGATTCTTGAAACTGGTTTGTAAGGATAAAAGGTAAGTACAGCTGGTTACACATATTTCATTTGTTACATGTTATCAAACTAATTCAATGACTTGGTGGGGGAAACTGTAAATATTTTGAACTTATGTTGACGTCAGTCATTACTTAATGAGATTCTTTGGGAAAAAATAGTTTCATTGTCTCTAAAACTTTTCACAATAAAATTGAATAAATTTCAAATAAAAAGCTTTTGCACTTTCCAAATGGTTAAAGTAAAGAATACTTCCCTAAGACCTGAGTAATCGATGTTGTCAGTTAGCCTTAATTGTGTAGAAAGAATCTCTGGCCAGGGGGATAAATGTATAAACAAATGGTGTACTTCCACATCAATATAAGGTCAAACACATCGTGATAAACAAAAAAATAAGTCTATTTAAAAGAAGCTGTGGTATCGTATTTCAACTCAATTTCTTTCCAGAATTCTTCCAAGTTTTTCTCAAAATCCAATATGTATGGTTCCTTCATGTATTTGGCTGAAAATTGCATTCTTATTTTAAGGATTACTATAAAACAGACTTACAATACATTAGTGTGGTTGTTAATATTTTCTCTATCTTTACAGTATGTGACTGGCATCAACAAAAGTTTATTGTTAAAGAGAAGAAGTAACATCTTAAAGAAAGTTTCATTTCACTTCTGTCTTTTCATTCCATGTCATTGTGTATTTCCTTTCTCCTGTCTTTTCATTCCATGTCATTGCGTATTTCCTTTCTTCTGTCTTTTTAGTCACCCCTGGGGGAACCCCAGTGTGGACTATTTGAAATTTCTGTTTCAGTTCCAGATTTTGACATCTGTTGCCTATCACTCTGAAGAGCTTTCGTGTGTTTGCTTCTTTCGGAATATACCAGGCACTAATTACAAGCTCTTGGATAAATCAGATATACATTTCTTTTTCAAACAGGAATAACAAACAACCTGAAGGCGTTCCAAATTTCACACGGGAATTACATATAACCTTAAGATGTTCCGAGTATGAATCAGGCACCTTTGAGGTTCACGAAGGGGTAGACTGTTATTAGCTCACCTGGCACGAAGTGCCAAGTGAGCTAATGCCGTGGTGCGGCGTCCGTCGTCCGTCCGTCCGTCCGTCCGTCCGTCCGTCCGGCGTCCGGCGTCAATATTTTACTTTAAACGACTTCTTCTTAATAACCGAAAGGCCTAGGGTGATGATATTTGGCCAGAAGCAAACTGGGATGAAGGGCTACCAAGTTTGTTCAAATAAATGACCTTCATTTATTTTCAAGGTCACAGGGGTCAAATATGTTAAAAACTTTAAACAACTTCTTCTGAATAACCAAAATGCCCAGGGTGATGATATTTGGCCAGTAGCATGCTGAGATGAAGGGCTACAAAGTTTGTTCAAATGAATGACCTTCACCCATATTCAAGGTCACAGGGGTCAAATATGTTAAAAACTTTAAACAACTTCTTCTCAATAACCAAAATGCCCAGGGTAATGATATTTGGCCAGTAGCATGCTGAGATAAAGGGCTACAAAGTTTGTTCAAATAAATGACCTTCACCCATATTCAAGGTCACAGGGGTCAAATATGTTAAAAACTTTAAACAACTTCTTCTGAATAACCAAAATGCCCTGGGTGATGATATTTAGTCAGTAGCATACTAGGATCAAGGGCTACCAAGTTTGTTTAAATGTATGACCTTGAATCATATTCAAGGTCACAAGGAGCAAATATGTTTAAAATATTTCAACAACTTGTTCTGAATAACCAAAAGGCTCAGGATGTTGATATTTAGTTAGTAGCATATGCTGGGATCAAGGACTACTATGTTTGTTAAAGTGAATGACTTTGACTTATATTCAAGGTCACAGGGGTCAAATTTGTTTAAAATCTTTAAACAACCTCTTATGAATAACCATGGGTCCCAGGATGTTTATACTTTGCAAGTTGCATCCTGAGATGAAAGGCTATACAATGTGTTCAACATAATGACTTTGTTCGACTTTCAATCACAGGGGTGAAATGTTTTGAAAAAAATTAACAGGGTCTTTTAAACGAATTTTAATCATAAATACTGATATTTTGCCTGTAGCTTTATTTTAGATCACTTTTAAAGTTACAAGTGTGAGTTTTATACCAGGTGAGCGATGTAGGCCCATTGGGCCTCTTGTATTATGGATTGCTGTTGATTGATTTAGATATTTTATGTCTGACCATCGACTATCGTAAATATTCGCATATAGTGTGCACATTTTTAAGGAAAAATGAAAATGTCAATAAAGGGGTGCGCAGATACTCACAATCCAAAACCAGTCCTTGGTCGCAACCATTTGATTTATCGCGAATTTTTCTGGGATTTTCGGAAATGTTTTGAAATATGCTTGCAGCAATAAACTGTTGACATTCGTTGAATAACTCCTGATTGCATTGTCTATTTAACCATTTTGAAAAATTGCAAGTTTAAGTCATATTATACAATAGAATCTGATAAAGAAACTCCAGTAAAATAGGCCCAACTTTTAGGTACCATACCACGTATGGGGAAACATAACGAAGAATTGCATCATAATAAGCTAAGCACTCTGGGGTTAAAATGCCGTTCTTGGGTAAAATCATGTTGAACTATTTAATCTTGACAGTAGGAATGTGCCAAATTGACATGGGGAAAGTGGCGAAGTTTGCAAGTTTGTGTAGGCGTAGTACGAAGTTAACGAAGCCATGTAACAGATGATTTTAATCAGATTGAGAGTCTAGGTCACTTGATACTATTTACCGGCAGGAACTCACAATGTCACAAACATGCGAATTGAACTGATAATAATAAAAGTTCGAGTTTGAAAAATAAATATTAACGAGCTCAAAACAGGCAAAAACATTTCGATCTTTTCTTTTCAAAGAAGAATTGCTGAAATCACAATCGTTTTGTGTTTTTCATGTCTCGTGAATTTGGCTGTTGGAGGTCCTTATCGGGCCTGTTTGACTGCTTTTAACAAAGCGTACACACTCTGCTGATAGGCCTATCGATGTCCGATTCAGTCAGATTTGCGGACGATCAGAAAACTACTTTGAATCGTGTATTTTATAAAAAAAAAGTGAAAGATTTATCTGTATGTAAGATTGAATCTTTTCTGTTGAAACACAAACATATCGCAGCTCCCAAAATACACACACATACACTACACACATGCATCTTGCACACAGAGGAGGCCGTCCCTAAATGACCTTAGCTGTTAATAGGACGTTAAACAAAATCAAACAAACAAACAAACTTTTCTGTTGTGAAAACAACATCGTTTTATTCCAATTACCTGTTCTGCCCATGCCAGGTGGCAACAGTTCATTCCCATTTATCCAACTTTTTGAAAAATAGGTACTACAGGTAAAAAGTTTGGGTTGGATAAGTGGGAATAGGGTATATTGTTAAAACAACAAACACTAATTGGAGCTTGGGTCAAGTGTTGGGTTAAAAATATGATACAGAAATTAAGTCCTTTTGGAAATGTGTATCTATA